TGGCTCGCAAAATTTACGATCCTTATAAGACTAAGAGGTTGCAAAGGAATTAAGAAGGACTACGTGTTAATTGGGCAAATGGAAATAAAAATGGGAAAAATTGTGGAAGGGACCATGAGGAGAAAGAGTTCATTAATGAGGGGTTGACAATAGAGGCAGACTTATAGGCTAGTAAGTTAGCGACACATTCATTTATTTCAAATGTCAGGCTTTTTGATGGTTATCATTAGCCCTTTAACTGACACCGGGCTTCACAGAGGGGAGGAGGAACATCAGTCACAAATATTCGAGATGGGTAATAGAAGAGGGATTCACAGATGTAAAAGAAACAGACAGACAGACGGACACAAAGGCAGAGAACACGTAGGATGAGAGCTGTGAAAGTGGTCGAATATGACAAACGGTAGGGTCATGGTAGTATGTCGTGAGAAGTCAACTGTCGGTTTATAGACTTTTTTTGCCGTATGAGTATACGTTGCCCGGGGTTCTCCACGTAGAGGTAAGTCTATCGCACACCCCGTGGGCGACACATAGAACTGAGAATCAGCGTGTGCCTATCCACCGACTATTTTGTCCTATATTTCGTGGTTTCGAGATTTTCAAGCTAATAACTGGTTATTACGCTCAAACTCTAACTCTCATCTCGAAATTTGGTTCAGTTTATGGTGCAGATTAACTAAACAGGATAAAATCTGGCAATTCAAGAGTTCTATCAAATAGTGATATCAAGACGAAGCACCATAGCAACGTGGAATGAGATAAAAGTCCAAAGCTTACACGAGTTTCACCTGAGCAGTTTGCGAACTTGTCATCTATCAATCATTGGCTTAGCTACTTGTGCTCTGTTGGTGTAAAACACAGAAACTTGTAATTCACCGAAATTGTAATTTCAGTCATCATTGCGATCATAAAAGTGATCTGTGATTTCGGATAGTTTATAAAATTCCCGGCTCATATTCTATATGTCAATACTAGGAGAGAAGGAATACGCGATAGACTTACCTTCACGTTTTGCACCCTGGACAACGTATACTCATATGGCAAAAAGTCACTAAATCGACAGTTGACTTCTGACTTCAAACTACTATGACCCCACTGTATGTCACATCCGATCACTTCCACAATACTCACCTCACCTTAAATTTTTCTCTACCTTAGTGTCTGTAGCTTTTACATACGTGAACCACTCTTCTGTTCCCCCCCACACCCCCTCTCGACTTTTTGTGACTTTGATTTTCACCACATTTGTAAAACCCGAAGTCAACTAAGGGCCTATTGATAGCCATCATAAAAGTCTGTCATTTGATATAAACAGATACTAGGCGAGGTTATCCGATTGGTAGGAGCAAGCAAAGTGTACAACTATAAGACGGTTGACGGATTTCGGTACAACTGGACACTGTTGTGTAACTGCCAATTAGGGCTGAATTAGGAGTCTGAATTACTTCATCCTCCTTGGGATTAAATAGACAATGGCAACAATATCGGCTCCTACACTAAATCTATGTGATGGTATGCATTGAAGAAACGATCGAGGTTTGATGAAATTCTGTTTCGAAGGTTGTAGACGGTTATGTAACTTAGTAGTATATTATTATTATATCAAATGGCAGGTGTTTTGATTGTTATCAATAGCCCTTTAGTTGACTTCAGTCTTCACAGAGGGGAAGGAACATCAAAGTGTAAAAAATTCAAGAGGGGGGGGGGAACAGAAGAATGTATCAAAGACGAAGGTAGATTAGGTGGAAAAAGGTGGGATGAGTACTGTGAGGCTTAGAAAAGGTAGGAAAAAGGTGAGGTGAGTACTGTGGAAGATACAAATGTAGAAAAAAGGTGAGGTGAGTACTATGGAAGTATACAGACTCAGAGGTAGAAAAAAGGTGAGGTGAGTACTGTGGAAGTAGACTAATATGCCATACAGTGGGTCATGGTAGCTAGTAGTCGAATTTGACATACAGTGGGGTGATTGTAGTTTGAAGTCATGTCAAATGCCGGTTAATAGACTTTTTTGCCGTATGAGAATGTAGGACATATAGGGGGGTCATGGTAGTTTGAAGTGAGAAGAAAACTGCCGGTTAATAGACTTTTTTGCCGTATGCGGAGAAGTCAACTACCAGTTAATAGACTTTGCCGTTGAAGTCAGAAGTCAACTGCCGGTTAATAGAATTTTTTTGCCGATAGTGAGAAGTCAACTGCCGGTTTATAGACTTTTTTGCCGCTTTGAAGTCAGAAGTCAACTGCCGAATAATAGACTTTTTTAAGAAGTCAACTGCCAGTTAATAGACTTTTTTTGCCGTATGGCCGTATGATTATACGTTGCCCAGGGTGCACCACGTGGAGGTAAGTCTATTGATACGTTGCCTAGGGTGCACCACGTGGAGGTAAGTCTATCACACACCCCACTTAGTAGTATATAAACTGCCAAACAAGCGAATGTATAAAAGGCTTATCTACAGGAGATGGGAGTAATAGTTTGGGGAAGAGATAATGGGAATTAGACATTGAAATTGGAACTTTTCTCTTATCATCCCGATAAACATGCTGAGCTTCTCAAGGGATCTTTTGGAGGGACTCGCACGGCATTCTTATATGCGATGTTTCAACAAAACACCTTTTTTTCACACCACTTGAAACAAACAGTAATGGGAGGCGCTTGAAATCACTCCTTATTGTTGTGCCAGTTGATATTGAAAGTGCACTTTATTCTTTTCCGCTTCGTATTTTACTCCTTTAGATTAAAAGCAGTTGAAATGAGAATTATCGCTTTTGGCAACAACAGATCACGGGCATTATCGATATTGTGGTCGATTTGCCGTAGTTCTTTTAGTTCTTAGTTCTTAGATGTCCCGAAATACGTTTTAAGTCAGGAACCCCAAGGCGAAGTCTTCTTGGCTAGAATGCTGCCGCCAAATTTTTCAGAGGATTACGATGGTGGAATTAATGAAAATGGCTTCTACTATTCAAAGCCCCACAGCCTCACTTGCTTAAATGTAACCAAACATGTATTCAAACGACAAAATTAGAGGAAATTATATAATAAATGGTGGCATTTTTCGCATTGCAAGCACTCATTATAGACAATCCGGAAGAGCCTCAAAAATACTTTCATATATTCTAACAAGGAATTCTAGCAATTTGCGAAATTCAAATCAAACAACAAAAAAGGGAGAATATTCAAAGGAATTAAATGAAAAATTAATTATTATTGTCGCTATAATGAACAAAAATGGCTGAATATATATAATTAAATTACTAGATTACAATGGTGTAGAAAAATGGAGTAACAATCTGCAGACATAAATCATATGAGCACATAAAAAGGTCGTTTATATCATTGGATAAGAAGCTGCTGTTTCGACGCCGCATAGATTGCCACCCCTCTTAATGCGAACATATCCATTTTCTCCCCAGCCAGTTCCCCAGCTATTCTTTATCAGCCAGTAGGGAATACCATTCTCATGACCGTAGCCGACCAAGAGAACACCATGGTTGAGACTTTCAGAGCCACCGCGGCAATCAGGATCATCGTAGATTCCCTCATGGTACATCATGAAGGAGAGGGGACCAGCATTAATGGCCACCGAAATTGGTCCATTATATGCAAGGGCCTCCTTCAAAAGCTCCTCCTTTCCTGACGGGATATCAACCAAACCGGTGACTTTGGCAACAGCACCTGCAGCATTGAAAGAACAATTGTCATTGGGTTCCTGAGTCACTCCTGACACGTAGGGATAGTCCTTTTCAGTATCTACGCCACCAGCTTTTTTGACATATCTGAAGGCGTTGTCCATGAGACCACCGTTGCATCCCTCATTTCCAAAATCGAAACTGCAATCAACCAACTGTTGTTCCGAGAGACTAACAAGTTTGCCTGATGCACGTTGATATTGACCCTCAATGGCACCTATTGCAGAGAAGGCCCAACAAGAGCCACAATGTCCTTGATCCTTAACTGCAGTAACACGACTACAGGCAGAAAATATCAAGTAA